AAAAAAAAAAGAAAAGAAAAAAGAATAAACATTAAAAGAATGGGAAATAACAACAGAAATTGAGAACTCAATAATTTTAGAACAAAGCTTTCATGAATCGGATACATGGCAAGAATCTTATGCCAATACGATTTAAGAAATGATTAGGAAAAGTAAGCTAGAGTTCTTGTTTTATACCTGCTGTCGTTCATACAAAACGATTGTACAAACTACTTGTGTATAGAAATGATTACTTTGTTCCCAGAACAAACTTCACCAATAAACACATCATGGTAAAAGAGAGAAACGAAAGGGAATCGTGGAACTAAAGACGAGCGTGGGTCTCGTTGTTCCGAGTTTACGTATAATGGACCACACATGGAGCATTTACGTCTCATGAAACACCAAATGCTAGCTAAATCCAACTTCAACTAACACACATAACACAAAAGAGTTACACAGTTTGATGTATAAGCAGCTGTAATTTTCACTGTCCCCCTTGACCACCAGCCACATTTTGTCTGAACATAGAATATTTACCACAGCCAATCCAAATGCAAAAAAAAAAAAAAAGTCCTTTTCTCTTGAATTAACAATTCTTGAGTAGCTTCTTTTCCCCTCTCAACTACAGTAACTTCAATCTTCTTTTTTACTTTATCTTCTGAAATTGGGGCTCAGTTTTCACACACGCCAACAAAAATCAGAACAAAAAAACCCAACAAAAAAAATCCATCACGAACCATCAATTGAAGAGCAAACAAAGCAATTATATCAAGATTCACTCAAAATCCAAAAGAAAGTTAAAATATAACAAGCAACAAGATAACAAAATCGGTCAAATATAACCCACCTTTTTGCTATAAAGAAACCCTTCTGCACACTGGAAACCCCAGCACGAATTCACCCCCAAAAGCTGCGAAAGCTCCCATGACCCTTTACACTCTGCTTTCTGCAAAAACAAACACGCACTCGAATGGGTTGCAGATTTCTTTCTTTTTTTTTTCCTTCCTTTTTACAGATCCAAGAAAAATTCAGAAGGGGGAACTTTGATAAATAAAAGGCATTGATAATTGGGCCAAACCAATAAACACGAACCCCAAGATCAATTACACACAGTGATGAATGAATGAAAACTGGGCAACAGGAAAGTGTGATTGGGTTAATATTTAATTGTCTATTTTCCAGAGTGTGCGTGAGCGGAGACAGTGAAGGATAATCGGCGTTTTATTAACTTTGTATACTTTGTAAGTGTTTAACGGACGCAAGTGGAGGACAGGCTATATTTCCACTTTTTTCATATTTTTCCACATCAGTCCTAATTAGTTAATAAGAACAACTCCAAGAGTTCCCTAAAAAGTTCTTCCCCAAAACAATGTATTGGGGCTCTCCCTAAAAAAAAACTTCCCTAAAAACTTATCATCTGCTAATAACTAGTCCCTAATATTTTAAAACAGGCCACATCATTGTAATTGGGCCCATCCACGCACAGAAACTCGAAGCAGAAAAACTCCCCAGTCCTCACAGCCGCCGCTGTTGCCTTGGTCGACGTCTTCGCTGGAGTTGTCGTGAGATAGGTAAAATGAATTCGGTATGAGTCGACGAAGCCTTTCCATGCAGCTGGTGTTGAGTTCGTCGTCAGATGATGACGCTGATGAATTCCTCCTCTCCGTTACTCACGTGGCCATGAATGCCGATGAGTCTGACGATGAAACAAAACATCGTGGTTCTATCCTAGGGCATCGAGTACTTGAGCGAGACAGACACGCAGGACATCATAGGTTGTACAAAGATTATTTTTCAGATGATCCTACCTACAGACATAGTTATTTTAGACGAAGGTATGTAAACAATAGATTTATTTGGACTTTTTTTTTTATAAATCCATA